GACTGCGATAGGGTGGCTTGGCTCCTCATGTCCGTGGCCAGCTGGTTCCTCATCTGGACAGCTTCTCATGCCCGTGGTCTCTGCTTGAGTCTGTTTTCCTCTTCAAGCAGATGCACACTCCTCATGGAGGGCGATGAGAAGGGGAGCCCAGGGGAACATCCGTGCTCTCCGTGCACCATGCACCACCCTCCCATGCTCACGCGTGCTCTGCTGGGAGGCCCAGCTGGTGGCCAGACTGCTCAGGCTCCCTTCCTCACCACTTGTCACCTTTGTGAGGTGCAGAGAGGATGCTGTGTCATTCCAGCCCCTCTTCCCTGAAGAAGCTTCCAGCTCTTCTTGGGCCCCAAGACCAAGAGTAGATTTCTAGTTCTTCACACTGGGCAGGTGGTAGGTTCTGAGACTGCTTCCAGAAGGTTCTAGTGGACAGGTGTTGGTGGTAAGAAGATTAGAACTGCAAGACCATACCAAGTAGATGTGGTTCCAAAGAACTTGATGGAATATTACACAGGTGGCAGGTTAGTTAGTGATCAGAGGAGAAATGATAGTTCTGTGAAAAGGAGCTCTGGGCAGTGAATAGACGAGGGAATGTAAAAACAACTTGGGTTGGTTAGTGGAAATAAAAATATATTTTTAACTGACTGCACTATGCAGGAGTGAACGTATCTAGTAGAATCTAAAAATACTTACGGAGACCTCAAATTCAGTTCATTCCTCTCACCTCAGGCCTCATAACCTGAGACTACAATGCTACTAGGAAAGTTACATTTCCTGACCCTAAGGAAAGATCAGAATTGTTTCTCTTTCACCTGGAGAGAAGCTGTACAAAGAAAACAAACTATTATAGCCTATAATTTTAATTAGTGGCTTGGTAAAGGTCATTAGCCTAAATTTTTTCAGGGAAGGGATGTGCACAATTTCCCTTAATGTGCTCCCAAAATCTGCCTCTAGAGGTCTCTTCACTCTCCTAGTTCTCTTTCCCCAAAGTGGAAATCGAATGGAAAGTACCTTTATCTTCCTCCCTCAAAGGATTTCAGATCTCCAGCCTCCATTCTCTGGCTAAAGGCACTGGCTTCAGCCAGAAAAAATGGTAGCACTCACCTCAGGAAGCCCCCTCGGCATCCCCAGGTTCCTTTCCGCAGCCAGGCTGGCTGGCTGAACAAGGCTGAGCAGAACGGACGCAGCAGCAGGGTGTTGCTGTGGGCCCTTTAGAGATCTTGTCAGCGGAAAGGGTGCCTCATCTTCACTGCTGAATCTCCCGTCACCAGAGTGTGTCAGGAAGCTAGGGAGAGCAGAGACTTCAGATCCCCGTCTTGGGTCTGTTCCAGAAGGAGCTGGTTTGGGGCCCTTATTAAGGGCTTTATAACTGACAGTGGAGCTTGTAGCAAGGACTCATGCGATTCCAGTCAGCCAGCCTCTAGGGGCAGCATCTGAGGCCCACGTTCATGGCGTGCTGGTGGCAGTGATGGAGGTGGTGGTGATGTTGCTGCTGCTGCTGCTTTTATTTTGTGCGTGCGTGCATGTCTTCTCTCTCGTTTACCATGTGCTTTTGGTCTTTCCTACTGAACAGCCGCAGTTCCGGAGTCCTGCCCCATAAACATTGAGGAATAGGTATGAGATCTAACAAATTTATAAATGAACAAACAACTCATTTGGTTTTGGGGTTGCTAAACTTAAAAGGCAATACTGACTGCCTTGTATCCATCCCGTCACACTGAGAGGGCCACCCTTAGAGGGGAAAGGCACTTTTGACCCCCGTCGCAGACTCAGTCTGGGTGTGAAAGATACCACAGTCTCCTGCTCCAATCCTTCCTCTTCCCTCAGGGTCCACCTGTGCCCTGTCAGAGCCTGAGGAGGGAGCATCGCACCAGGATGTTTGCAGTCCATACCTGCTCAATCCTGGCATTTCTGCCCTCAGAGGGTTTCATGTCTTAGGCTGGCCTGAGCGCTTAGGCTGACCCTGGGGAGTCACGAGTGCCCTCCCTGGAACTTGGGATGCAGTGAGCCCTGGGACCACCTTTTGCCATTGGTCTGCCCGTCCATGGAGTGTGTCCTGTGCTGGACCAGGCCCTGTCCTAGGATCTGGAGACAAAGCAGTGACTAAGACATGCCCTGCCTATAAGGAGCTCACAGTCTAACGGAGGGGTTCGAGGATTAACGGTCTCTGTGCAGTGTGAGAAGGGGGCAGGAGCACAGGGTGCTGGGGGGCACTCAGGGGAGCCCCTGGACTTCACCCGGCTAGGGTGTATGTGGTGGTGGGGGGGATGCTGGCAGACGAGGCTCAGGAGGTCCCCTGTGGCTAGAGGAGGAAAGGCCTTCCGAACCAGGAGTGAGGGCTTAACCCCGAGGGCCAGGAAGCCAAGGCCCTACCTTTCCTGTGGAAAGGACCTCTCTAGCTGTACTGTAGAAAATGCATGGATAGAGCCGATCTGGGGCTGGGAGAACAATGAAGAGGAAATCCAGGCTAGACGGTGGGGCGGGGCTGTGTTTCCTCCTAGTATTGAGCACACCTGGTGGGTCAGGGGCTTTGCTTCGCAGCCCCTCCCCCCGTTATCTCACACAGTCCCCACAGCAATCCGTGAGGTAGGTGCTCCTCTCCCATTTGATGGATGAGAACACCAAGGTTCAAAGTCAAGTGACCTGCCCAAGGTCAGACAGTTAAGAAGTTGTAAACTGGGATTCCAGCCCAGGTGGGTCTGACGACAGAGTGCAGACATGACCGGGAAGTGAGCAGACAAGAGGCAGGATGAATTGGCTGTCACGCATGAAGGAGAGACTCATGGAAGATGAAGCCTGGATGTCCTCACGCAGGAGCCGCTGCAGATTTGTGGGAGGGTGATGAGCTTTGGGGGCCATACCTGTGGGACCCCAAGGCCCTTGGGCTGGTGTCTCCTCAGCCTGCTGCCCAGACGCAGACCGAGATGGCGAGCGGCATCGTCAGATGGGCCTCCTGCTGTCTGCCGTTCCTCCGTCCCAGGGGCCTGCTGGGCAGCCGGTCACCTGGGCCCCATCTCGCCCCCACTGCAAACACTAACACTTGGGCCCAAATTAACATACTCTTCTCACTCCCTGCACCTCTTCCTGCTGGTGGCGGAAATCTCAGCCAGACCCAGTTCCTTTTTGCTTGTCACTACAACACATAGGCAAACTTCAAAACCAAACAATTAAGACACAACAGTGGATCCTAGGGTAAGTTCACAAAACAGGGAACTTTCGCATGTCCCCCTCTGGCAGTGGCCACCATGGCAGTGACTGTGACTGGCCCTGCTGGCACCTCCTCCCGAGTCACTCTCTCTCTGCACAGTGGCTGCATACGCACAGGTGTTCAGGTAACGCATCCTGCTAGGTCCATGCCGACCTCCTGGGCTGACCGCTGGAGACACCATTTGGGCCTGGCCAGAGGCCTGGCTCCTGTAACCTTCCTTTTCTCTTCTCCAGGCACCTGGCAGGCTGATAACAATGCTGTCGGTCAGAGGAAGACCCGGCGACGCTCATCGTCCAGCAGCCTGGAGGACCCCGAGGATGGGACCTGTGTGTGGGGTCCGTTAGCTGTCTGAAGAGCCCCAGGCCCTGTACCAGGGCTCCCCTGCTGTCCTCGCAGTCTGTCCTGTCCTCACCAGGCCACTGGCCCCCAGGGCATCCTCATCAAGACACGTGTCAACTCTTATCCTCATGTGAAAGCTGGCTGGTGAGGCCAGCCTGCTCCTTCTCCCAGCCTCGCCTCCTCCTGTAACCATGGTCCTTTCCCTTGCAGAGTGACTGGAAGCCCTGCTTCGTCCTGTGGGCTGAAGTCACTCGAACTGCAGCTCATGGGACCCTTTGTGGCCTCTCCGGATGTCTCCCCCGTCCCTGATCTTCAGGGGGAGCTGGTGGTTTCCTGTGCGTCTTTTCTCCCTTTAGGGGTGAGACCAGAAGACTCTGTCTTGGCGGCTTCCCTTCAAACACCCATCTGGCTTGTTCTGGTCTCTGGAACATCATAACCAATTTAAAACTTCAGCTTGGGTGGGGTTGGGGACAACTGGAGTGAGAAGGGAGCAGCCACATTGCACCATGTGTGGAGTCTCCCTCAAAGAGCACTGGGAGCTCCTTCCTCAAGAGCGGTGGTGGCCACCAAAAGGTTGGTCAAAAAAATAGCTCCTCTTCCTAGTAGCAAAGCTCATCTCCCTTGGCATTGGTGCCTGCCTGCTTAGGAAGGGGACCGTGAATCTGAGGTCAAGATGATGACCCTTAGGAAGGATCCTTATGATCAGGTGCGTTCATGAATGCCTGGGAATCCATTTCAAGAAACATATTTTCTGACACTTCTGTATGCCGGGCTCTGGTAGGTGCTGTCGTATATTAACGCTTTCATCTTCACCACAGCCCTGTGCGGTGGGGTTCTTATCCCTGTTGCCCCTGTCTCCACCCTCTTGTTAACAGTTGAAGAAATAGGCTTTGAGTGGTATAGACCCATGATTCTCAAATTGGTGCCCAGGAACCCCAAAGGAAGTGGTAGAGAACCTGTGCTAAGTCCAGGCAGTGGCCTAGAGCCAGTGGCTGTGGTCTGGGAGCTGCATGGCTGAGGCCAGGGCCTACACCTCGAGGAACCCCTCTTCCGACATATTTTCCTCTACTGCCTTCCAGATCCACTGAGCCTGATGGGTGGAGAGAGAGGTTGAGTCCCTACTGTTCAAGGGGAGCCTTCTCATTATTTGAGAAATTTAGAGATAGTGTCCTTCCGATCATGTGTCCCCACCCCACCCCAGTGGAACTGCATATAAACCAAAGCCTTGAAACAGCAAGGCTAGACGAAGCCGACTCACTTCCTTCCCAACTGTGGTGTTATCAGTGGAGCGCACTAGCTATGGAGCGATGCTCTGTCCACAGGTTTTTGGGAAAAGGTGTTATTTAGTGGAGCATGAGATTATTTGAGAAGCAAAGTTAGATTCAACAATTCCTTGTGAGGCCGAGATGTGGTGGGGCCCTAGGCTCTACCCCTCCTGCTGGGCCCTCTTAGTACTGGCCACTGTCACTCTAGAAGAGTTTTGCCAGGCTTTTTCCAAGAGTCTTCCTCAAAAAGAGCCCAGCGCCCAGGGGACCCTTTGTTCCTTGTGTGTGGCTGCAGCCCAGGAGGGAGGGAATGGCCCACACTGCCCTGGCCAAGGGGAGGACTGTTGTCCTGACTGAGATGTGACACAGCCAAGCTTGGATGGAAGCATCTGCCAGAGTTCCACATCGGCCCTCTCTGGAATACCTCAGTAGACTGTGCCGTTGAGGCCCCACTTAATCTCCTTTCTTCCCCCAACATTGTACAGTTGCTTTTGTATTTAACTAGGATGAGTTGAGCAATAACCCCACTTCTGATTTCCTTGAAGTTGGAGCCCCAGAAGCACCAGGCAGTGGGTGAGGCACACAGACCCACCTCCCCTCCCTGCAGGTAGCATTCACAGTGTGGTGTGACCTGGGAGGGTCCCAAGGAAGAGCTGAGATGAAGGAGAGTCAGGTAAACAGTAGCCACAGGGCCAGGAACCCTAAGGGGAGACAATTATCGTCACCCCTTCCTCTAGGATCTGGGTCCTTCCTCACAGGATGTGCTTGGTCTTCTCCCAGGAGATCATCAGAAAGGTTCCTGAAGGCTCTACACTGTTGGTGGGATTGTAAAATCGTACAGCCGCTATGGAAAACAATATGGCGCTTCCTCAAAAAGCTAGAAGTAGAAATGACCTTATGCGGCAATCCCACTCCTAGGGATATATCCTACAGAAATAAGAACAGCGACACGGATAGACACATGCACACCTATGTTCACTGCAGCATTGTTCACAATAGCAAAACGATGGGAACATCCTAAGTGCCCGTCAGCGGATGAATGGATAAATTGTGGTGCATACATACAATGGTATACTACACAGCTATAAAGAATAATGATGAGTCTGCGCAGCATCTTGTAACATGGATGAATCTGGAGGACATAATGCTGAGTGAAATAAGTCGGTCACAAAAGGACAGATATTGTATGCCATCACATGAAAAAATCAAGAACAGGTATACCCACAGAAAACAACGTTCTTTGATGGTTCCTGGGGGAGCGAGGGGGAACCACTTTCTAGACAGTAACCTAAAAAAAAAAAAAAACCTTGCCGTCAAGTGGATTCCTACTCATAGCAACCCTATAGGACAGAGTAGAATTGCCACATAGGGTTTCCAAGGAGCAGCTGGTGGATTCCAACTGCCAGCCTTTTGGTGAGCAGCCAAGCTCTTAACCATTGCACCACCAGGGCTCGTCGTAGATAGTAGAGGCTTGTAATTTTTTGGTGATAGGAAGGGCAATACCCAATACAGGTGAAGTCCGCACTTGCCCAAGGTAACTGAAGACACTAAGAAGTACATAAGAATAAGGGACAATTACAGTGGAAAGATCCCTGAAGGAATCTTAGGGGGAACCTGGCCTTGGGCCCACTCCTCCTCCTCAGCCCTTAGTACCAGATAGACACGCCTGAGTTAGAAGTGGCCCCTCGCTCCTTGTTTCTCAGGGTTTTTTTTGTTTGTTTGTTTTTTTTCTTCTTTTTCCTTTTTTACCACGTTTTCATGTAGCTCTTTGACTAGCAGAACATCCCATGCAAAGGGCCTGCCCTCAACCTGATGGGGCCCAGGTCAGGGCCCACCCTATTGTCCCAGTCCATCTGTGGGGACAAGGTCATGTCAAAAGCAGATCACCGGGGAGAATGGGGTGGGCCTGGCTTCTCACTGGAGGGCACAGATGACCGGACCACAGAGGCCAGGGGCTCCTGCCTGCACCTCTCAGATGGAGCCAGTGACCCCAGCTTCCTCACCAAACCATTGTTTTCCCTTCTACCCAGTTACACCAGAGTTTACGCCCACACTGGAGGCATCTCCTGGGCACACACCCGCACACAGAAGCTGTCTCACCGGGGAGTTGGGATCCTGTCCCCCTGCCTCTGGCATGCTGGTTGCTCATTCTGCTTTAGCACCTGTGCGCCTGGGGTGTGCAAGTGTGTGTGTGTGTGTGCCACTGTGCACCCCTTACTCCCCAGAGGATACACATGGGCACATTACAGTGGGGACATCAAGGATGCAATATTTATGGATTGCTGCATGATTCTCAAAAATGAATAAAACTTTACAAGGGAAGGAGAGCTGTTAACTGGGAAGGTGGCTTATTTGTGAACCGCTCTGGCTGGCTTTCTCTGGTGTTCTTTATATTTTTATTGAAGAGAATCTGGAGGTGGAGGAGTGGGAGAGCAAGGGCTAGGGAAAGACATGCTCCCCAGTGGGAGTTACCTGGCCATTCCCTGGGTTTCTCGGGTCTTCTGGGCAGCATCTTCCACCGCCCCCCGCCCCCCAGCTGCTCCGCAGAGGCCAGAGAAAGGCGCCCCACCCCACCCCCTCTGCAGCCGTCTTAAACCGGAGAACTCCCAACACGCAGCCCCTCAATAATTAAAGAGCAGGGAAGTTGGTGACAGGAGGGAAGCAAGGGAGAAGGGCAGGTCACAGACCTTGGTGTCCCTCTATCTTTAGTCCCTGTTGCTTAAAGGTGGGTAAGATTTATGGGGCAAATGACCCCGCTAAGACAATTTGCCAGCCCGTGGCTTTTCTGAGTCTTCTCTACCGGCTCCGCTGCCTCAGCTACTTGGGAAGGTGAGAGAGCATCTCCGCAGAAAGCTCTGGAATGTCAGCTCCCCGGACTGGATAAGAGTGGGTAGGGAGCCGCTTACCGGGAAACACCGGTTGCCCTACCCGCCTCGGTGTGCCTGCGATCGGTGTGGCATGTCCGCGGGCATGAGCGGCAGGCGGCACCGCCAGGCACCAGAGATGACACTGGGGGTCGGAAGAGCGGGAAGGCCGCGGAAACATGAGAAAGTGCCACTCGCGGCCCCGAGGCGAGGAAAGAAAACCCCAAGGATACGGTTCCTCAGGCTGAGCCGCGCGTTGCCCCCGCGCCC